AATCTTGAAAATCGGAGTGTTCGGGTTGGGATAGTTTCCTTGTAAGAAAATTTCTTGTTTTCTTAATGTTTTGGACAAAAAATTATATGATATATATTTATGTTATTGTTATCACTATGTTATTATTAATACAATTCAAACTACAAGTCTACAAGTATTAATAAATAAATTTCCACGTTTTACATACATAGACAAGAATGCGCAAAAATATCGAGCTTTTACAAAATTTAGTCAACAAAAATATTAGTCCTCATTAATATTTACCTTTTTGAAATTAACAATGGATATTGAGCTTAGAACTTAGAATAATTCAAAGAAACACACGTTTACTAAAGCACGCGCATTGACAATAGCGAACGAAATAATCTATCTTTGTCATAGGCATATTATGTCCACGACTTCGGTACCATGGTGCGAACGTGATTTTTTTGTCTTTGTCTTTGCAGAGTCGTAGGAGCTAAATAAAATTCAGAAGATAAAAAGGTAAATAAATTTGTAGCTGTCTAAGAAACCAACGTAATAAAAAAAATTCGAAAGCAACTTTTCATTATTTTAAATAATCAATCGAATAGTATAGAAAAAACATTGTTTTAGTTTTGTTAAATCATTAAAATTAACGATTAAAAATTTGATTTTGTTATAACTTTCTTATTAAAAATTAAAAAATATGTCTATTTCTCTGGAAAGAAAAGTTACATTTTTTTAGAGCAGATTGAAAAAAAAAATTACAAAATTCATTCATTTTTCTGTTTCTTATGATTTTTTTAAAATTCTGAAATCTTCCCTTAACTTCTAGCCTCCCTAACTCTGTTAATTTTAATAGTACGAGAAAAAATCAAGAGGCTATTTTTATGTAGAAATGTATGCTTTATAACTTTCATGACTTTCATGACTTTTTTTCTAGCTCTTACCCTTTTTGAGTTATCTTGAAAAACCCCTTTGTTTTATCTTTTTTCACCCGTGGCCGGGGGTTAAACAAAAAATTACTCTCACTTATTGTTATAATATACCTTAAACTAACTCATATCAAAAATTCAGCCAAGTTGACGAAATTTCGATTTAAAGGCTTGTTTAATTGGACTATGTAGTGTGGTGTGCGCTCTCCCTAATTAGGCCAGGAAATATAGAATTGGACGCGACTTTTTGTTTCGGCAAGCTGAATTTATCACTATAGATGCTAAATATTATGTAGTACAATAACATATTAGTTTCCACAGTCATAAAAATGGGGGGAAGATTGTTATTGTATAATTTTTATGTAAATTCACGTTTTTTTTTCGTCTTCAAAAACCTACAAAACTCCAGCGTCAAAAATATTGATTAGATCAAAAGTTATAAACAGAAGAAGTTTATTTATGACTTAAACATTTATAAACTGCGTTATTATTACCAGAACGTTTTGTCATCGCATTCTCTCGTTACTTATCATTGTCTAATAACTCACACGAAATCTGGAATCGGTAAGTTGGATAGTTTACAAGTTTATGGCCTTATAAACAAATTACCTAACTAATTATTAGTCTGGACGATCCCGAGGATCTTCAACAATCGCATAGGGTAGATTTCATAACAATACATTGAAATCTATCATTTTTTTTAATTTGCAACCTGGAATTTTTTTTTAATTTTTAATCTTAGTTGCAAAATGAAATATAGGACGCACGAGCGTGATATAGTTATATATTATTACATATTCGGAAAGCTTATGAAAAGAGCTTTAAGTTAAAAAAAATCGTCAAAATTAGTTGAAAAACAACGGAGTTAAAAGACTGTGAAATATAATATTTTCAAGCGAATTTCCATTATTTAACGGCAGGACTATGAATATTATCGTCATTTTCTTCGGACTCGCTGTCGTTTGCTTCCCCCACCCTTCTGCCGCGCCACGGTTCGCCGAACATCAAGCGACCCACTGACTGTTGATAATATTTCTTATGCACTTAACATACTTCCACAAATAAAATATTTTCTTTTTGCCGCTACCAACCTAATTTGTTTAACAATAGGCCGTCAACTTTGACAGTCTGTAACGCCGTTGTTTTTCAACGAATCTGGACGATTTTTTTTAACTTAATGCTCTTTTCATAAGCTTTCCGAATATGTAATAATATATCGTATATTTTATTTTGCAACTAGGGCTAAAAAATAAAAAAAAAATCCAGGTTGCAAATTTGATATTAAAGAAAAATTATAGATTTGAATGTACTATTATGAAATCTACTATGAAAAAAATCAGTGCGATTGTGGAAGATCCTCGGGATCGTCTAAACTAATAATTAGTTAATTTGTTTATAAGGCCATAACTTGTAAACTATTCAACATGCCCATTTCAGATTTCGTGTGAGTTATTAGACAGTGATAAGGAATTAGAGGATGCGATGCGAACGTTCTGGTAATAATAACGCAGTTTATAAATGTTTAATTCAAAAGTCATAAATAAACTTCTTTTGTTTATAACTTTTGATCTAATCAATATTTTTTGACACTCGGGGGTAGTTTTGTAGGTCTTTTGAAAACGAAAAAAAATTACATTACTGTTTTCTCGTGGAAATGAACGGAAAAAAGGTATAAGCGAAAAACGTAAATTTACGTCAAAATTATACAATTAACCACCCTGTAAACAATCTTGGCCCCATTTTTATGACTGTGGAAACTAATATGTTATTGTACATAGTATTTAGCATCTATAGTGATAAATTCAACTTGTCGAAAGAAAAAGTCGCGAAATGGCCATTTCCCAGCTTATTTTCTGGCCTATAATAACTTCAAAAGACGGGCATAGATCGACTCGTGCGTCATGCGCCAACGCTGTACATAAAACGGCCCGATAAAGAAATAAAACAAAGATGCATTATATTTGACACAAGGAAGACTTTTATAGGGTTTGATTTAATATATACATAGTGAATAAAAATACTGTACCCGAAATGAGCCACATCTCGACAATTTTCAACTCTGGGTCTTAATAAACGGTTATCTAATCTCGTTTGGGCCTTTTTCATTGGTGTATCCATTCTTCTAATTGCAGCTCTTAAATCTTTCATCAGGTCCTCGACATCTGCTAGTCTTCGAAGAACCTAATTAAAATTTAAGGGGTGAAAATATATGTATGTAAAAAAAACTAGCTAATTAAGCAACTATCAACTATCAATATGACTAGAATTTGCTGCACGGCGTCAGTCATGTTAGTTTAGTTCGTAATATGTGTATAAAATATTTCGCATTTGTGTAATTCAGCCGTTTTTGAAAAAATCCAGACCGCAGAATCCCGTTAGTTTGTAATATGAATGGTAAAAGATACAAATTTATGGTTTTCACTATTTATTAGGAAATTACATAGCCGCACAAAAAATAAATCCAAACTCAAGAGCCACATATCATTTGCGAAGGAATTCCATGCGCTGAACACGATCTAGCAGTAAAAATTCATGACTTGCCGATGAATTTCGGAGAAAAGTGAAATTACTTATTGGGTGAAAACGCCCAAAAATGGGTTAAAACTGATTTTTTCCTAAATTTTGTTCAGATATATCATTTTCGTAGTAGGTATTTTAAGTCGCTATACACGATGCCATTAGTAAAATTTACCCAAGATCTCGGTATTTCTCAGAAAACCCACTACATTTGTGTGAAAATTCGCCCGAATACAGGTATGAGTAAAAAGTGATTTGGCCATAAATTTGTACTAAATATATCGTTTTCGTAGTATTTTGGTCAGTTTTCTGAGAAATATCGAGGTCAAAATAGCATGGCTTTGTAGCCACAGACAGGCAGTGACATAGTAAGCTGAAATTACTATGAAAGCACGACTAGTGTCACACTAAGCGAAACAAATTTTTTAGCTAACGATACTGAGGGGAACAATTACACATTACAATTATTACAATTACATTCCCAATATAGGCAAGACATAGACCGGTTTCGAATTTATTCTCATCAAAATGCCATAGGTGTGATGACCGACGAACGATTTAATTATTTAGGTGTCCATCTACCGACCTGCTTTGAGTATGGGTGATCTACATACTATGTCATCTTACTAATCTCTAGCTACTATGACCGTATAAGTAGCGTCACACTAGGCGAAATTAACTTTATAACTAATAATATTATGAGAGAGTAGAAGACCATGACACATTCTTACTAAAAACTAGTGCGACCTTGTCTACACAGGTTTTTTTTTTTCTAAAATCAATCTGCATTGCTATGGAACAATAGAGTTTGATTGGGTCAACCCTAGTTTATAAAATAGTCTTTTTTAGCAAAAAGGGTTCATAAATAATTAAAGAAAAAGCGACTATGCCACAGACAATTTAGAAAATTGTCGTTATAACAAATTTCATTTACGTTAATACAATTTTGTTAAAACTGTTCGTTTGCTATACCTGTAACAATTCATATTCCAATTTTTTTGTAACTTCTTCAGTGCAAGCAATGCGTTTTGCTAGAGCCAGTTCCACTTTATCGGCTTGAGTTCGTAAATCTCTCGCAGCGTTATTTAAAATTGCATCCAGGGTACCCCTAAGAGTAACTGAACGCTGTCTGGTTGCTTCCCCCTCTAGTAAGGTCTCTCTGGTAAAATGTTCCCAATAATCCGTGGATGATTGTCTAAACAATAAAAGTAGAGGTTATTTATAATTCCTATTTTTTATATAGCGCGGCATAAGAGCCTCCCTGATTTCGGGTTGGTCTTTCTGTAACAGGAAGACATACCATATTTTTAGTTATTATGAATTGGATGGGTATGATGCTTTTACTATCGAAAAGCACATCAAAAGAAGCGAATATCCTCCAAAATGTTCCAGCAAACGCTGTTCTAATCACCGAAGTTCATTTATTTTAAAGCAATCAATTAAAGTTTTGAGAGAATTGTTTCCAGGGCAATTAATTACACATTAACGTTGGATGGACCTCCCTCCTTGTGACTTTCGTTCTCTGAGACTGTGTAAAACTCAATTATTTACCGAACGCCAATAACCAATGATGAACAAAAATCTGCTACACATCAAGAAATTGAGGTAGTCTCATAAGAAATGATTCGTCAAGTGATGCAAAACTTCAGAAATTGGCTACAAATGTGTATCAACAATAAAGGTCACCATTTGGATGAAATTATTTTCAATATCGCATTTATTTACTTTGGCTTCTTTATTAACGTTTAAAATCTGGGAAGTTGTATGTATGTACATACGTGCGTTAACATAAAAGCTAATATGGCAGCATCATATCACTTTGGAGTGCACTGATAACGAAATAAGGATATAATCAATTGATTTAAGAGATTCCAAAACATTTTGTATAAATATAGAGATACGAGTACATGGGTATGTTGTGTTATATGAATCAGTTTACTAAATATTACTAAGATTCAATTTTAACTTACCCTTCGGGAAAAATTACAGAGCCTGGCTTGAATAACAATATAGTAGATCCGCAATTTAAGGCCATGTTGATACTGTCAATTTCATGGGCAACAGTTTTATCGCTCCAGTCCATTTCTAATTTTTGTTTTGCAGTTTTATCTTCTAACAACTGTTTTTCAACGTCTTTAAGAGTTCGGTTGAATATGTCTCGTATTTCCGAACACAATGCTAACTCCTTGATTAGTTCATCTTCGACTTCATCGCGGACTAGTTCTGCATCCATTCGACCAGTACGTCTTTCTAGGCATTCTCCAGCTAAAAAATGTATATGTATTTAACAGATTATTTCTCTGTTCACAGAAAAAAACAAGAGAAAAATGTTTGTCTAAAAATTACTAAGCATTCTACCGGTAGGTACTGCCCTTCAAAAATTGTATAAGTCTTTCGTTCTCAGGGAATACTTACAAGCCAGAGGAGGTACCTATTCAAGAAGCACCACCGTTGATGAACAAAAATCTAATACACAAGAAATTGAGGCAGATCCATAAGAAATGATTTGTCACTGATGCAAACCTTAAGAAATCGGCTACAAATGTATGCAGTTTTTCATGTTTTAATGTTTCCTACTCCAATTTACCATTTATTAATTTTTTATAAACATTTTTATGCAAAAAACGCATTTTTTTAGTTTTTTGCTTATAAAACCTAAACTAAGGAAGTAATATGAATGCTATACAGAGACCAATTTGTAGAGAACTGAAATATGAATAAAACGAGAGGTCGATCAATTCGATCCGATAATTAGAAACGCAGAAAACCCGGAAAAATCGGAAAAAACGTTTTTAATTCATTACTCCGGCGTTTTTTAAGTTGTAGAATTGATCCTGTGCACAAATACTTGAAATTTGATGGTTGTATTTTATTTAGAAATATTGACAGCAACCTACTAGATAATGTATCAATAGGAATAGTATCAATAAAAATACATAAGTTGCAATAAAATGTTTTATTTTTTTCCTCAAAAATGGTGCATCCTAAGAAAAAATTGAAGGAACCAATTTCATTCAGAATTGATGGCGGATTTCTAAAAAAATATTAAAACGGGAAAAAATCAGTGGCGTTCCATTTTTTTATTAAAAGTTGTAGCATTCTCGCACGAACTTCACTGGTGCAAGTAGAAATATTCGGATCACCCTACAAAATGTACATTTATCGTTTCAAAGCGTTTTTCAGGTCTCTAATCAATATCTTTAAAACTCTTTGAAATAATTAATAAAAATAAATAAAAAATTTAAATTTAAACACTGTATCTCGGAAACGACCTACGTTTATATGAACCTTTTTTTAACGAAATAACGTCGGCAATCACCTCCTACAATATTTCGCACTTATTTACAAACACCCTTTGTATCCACTGCCCCTCATCTCCCGATATTCCCCCACTATTTGACCGCGTACGCGCGCTCGGCCGTCTTTGAGCAATTTTTCACCTATTTCGCATCATTTTATCGGAAAATTAGAATATACGTTTTGTAGTATTATACTAAACTTCTACTTTTAAAATCCGACTTAAAAATTAATATCGGACCACCTCTAACGCATGCAGAAAATTTACAAAATAGTGCAAAAAATTGAAATTGTGCCAAAACTAATTGTCCTACAGTGTCTGCTTTGTGCACATTTAAAGTACATATAAATCACTACTTTTGTGCACAGAATCAGCTCTACAACTTAAAAATGGCGGAGAAATGATTTTTCCGGGTTTTCTTCGTTACTAATTATCCGATCGACCTCTCGTTTTATTCGCAGGTATATCATCCAGTTTGCTTTGTTAGTTTAGGTTTTATAAGCAAAAAACTAAAAAAAATGCGTTTTTGCATAAAATTGTTTATAAAAAATTAATTAATGGTAAATTGGAGTGGGAAATATATAAGAATATTATACCTACAGACTGTCTTTTATATGATGGCACAGTCCGTTTGCTACTAATATTTTTGTCACAAAATTACTCATTTAATGCTCTATTGATTGGCCTATTTAAGTAGTTAGACAAGCGAAGTTGAAAAATTGAAAATTGGTACAATGCAGTTACTTCATAGTATGTATATGCAAAAATTGAGCAAAATTTAATCAGTGCGTCGTATTATTACCAGCATCATGCATACAGAAAAATGAGTACTTATCAACTTTTTCGTGTATATTTGAAATAATCGTGTTGAAAAATCATAGCAAGACTTATTAGTTATTTTTTTTCTCTAACAGTGCATTTTTTTTTAATAATGCTCAATCAAGTCGAATAATAAAAACTTTGATTGGAAAGGTCTACGCATATTTGTAAGATTCATTTTGAGGTCAGTTTGTGTTGAAACCTCTCAGTAGTAGTTCTAATTCTAAAGCCACTTGCTAGATAAATCAAGTTTAAATTCCGTATTAGTATCTCATAAACTCGTAAAGCTTCTTTATGTTGTATATTTCCTAAAATAATAAATTATCTGTTTCTGCATGCAGCGTTATGGAAACAAAATTTATAGAAGTTATCGCAAACAAACTTTTGATCGTTTGTTAGCAAGTGCAACTTTTTTTTCTAATTTCTCTCACGTCTTCTGAAATGCCAGTGATATCAAGTGAAGAACGGTTCACGCTATATGTAATTAGATACTATGAGTGAATTGCATGATTTGACTAAGAGTGAATTGCACACTCATTCCAGAAGGCCGTTAAACTCTTAGGAAACGTTTAAAAAAAATTGTTATTCTTGTGAGTGTAGCTGCAAGTAGAATTTATAATTGAGTTTGTTACAGTTATAATTTCCGCTTAACAGTGAAAAATAAATAAATAAATAAATACCGATAGATTCAGGCCAAGTTAAAACTGAACTGGCTTGCTTTAATCTACGTCTTTGCTCTTCCATAAAATAAATCTCTTCAGATGCAGCTGCTATTGCCCGTTCTAGTTCACATTTCCATCGATGAATTTCTAGCTCTCTTTGATTCAGTTTCTTCGTATTGTCTTCCTGGGTTGCAGTTACGTCCGCCTGCGATTGTTCTAGACATTGTCGGCCATTCCAATCGACGCTGCACAACAATATTTAAATAAAAATTATTGTCTAATATTTATGACCTGTTCAATGGAAGAAGAAAACAATGTAATTATAAGGGAATTTCATTTCAAAAAGTAAACTGCATTTAATAAGTACCTACTGTATGTACGTACATAATTCAGTTTTAAGTTTCAGTTTTTTATATCTTCTGCCAACAATGTACCTACCAGTTCTTTAACATTATCATTGTTCTAACTCATTGTTCTCTCAAAGCAACTTTGATCTCCAAATAGAATAGGAGTTACATGAGAAAAAAATGCCTTTAAATAAAAGACATACAACACAAGTACGATATCTTCGTATTATTGAGTTCAACAAACCCTACCTCCAAAATCTATCTACTTCAAAAGTATCCGTGTATCCGACTTGCTACTGAGCAGATAACAACTTACTGATAAGAATTCGCGTCACCCGACATGTCCAAAAATTAAATTTGTTACTATTTGAAATGAATGAAACGAATTTGAAATGTGAACACAATCCGTACTTACAGGTTAGCTCTGTGCTGTTCTACGTTAGACATTTCCAAAATAACTTTATTGTGTGCTCGCCAATCACCTTCGCTGTATCTAGCTATAGAATACTTATCCACTACGGGTCTGGTGCCAGTTAAGCCACCTAGAGGACCCCAATCTACTCTTCCCGTAGCCCATGGCCCAATTGGTCCCATATTTCCAGTTTCTTCTAATGGCATAGAATCTTGGGGTTGTGGCAGATAACAGGGACCTCTAAAACGACGATATTCAGTAAAATATGGCAGTTGTGATGAAGTTATGGATAATTTCGATGTCTTTGGAGCAACTGAATTGTCTAAAAACCTTCCGACCTAATCGAATGTTATTTAAAAAAAACGAATTTTGGTGCGGCTTGAGCCGATTTCAAGCGAATGATCAATAATAACTACAGTTAATTCCTCGATAGCCCTTGGTTATGCCCTATACTTGACCCTCACGATAACCATACGTACGTCGCTAAAATGCAATTGGTTATCGGTTACGGTTATAAAGCGATGACAGAAACACAAGACACAAATTAATTTGTTTGTTGAGGTTATTTATTCATGCATATTGATTTGTGTTACCTACATGCGGAATTTCTTTATACATCTTGTACGGAATATTACTTAAATACTAAAGCAAGGAAGGAAAGATTATTCCCATTGTAACAAAGTGATTTTCCGACACCCCACATTTGTGTTCTTTTTATTTTATTTTATGAATAAATATGATGTACCGCACCGTCATTCATTTTTGGCATTTCAAACACCATCCGTCACCGCGCAGCCGATAGCTGGCAAATTCACACCGCGATGATAATCGTACGCCAGTCTTCTACCTGCCAGCGAAGGAATCAGTCGTGCCGAGCTCCAGCCTGCCGTCTAGCCAGCGATACGTCACCGCCTGAGTAAGAATTTTACAAGTCCCGCTTAGGAGAACTACGCAGCCGCTACCGAAACGTCACCAGGACCTAGGAATTAAGCCGCCGTCAGCGTTTTAGTTCACCACGAGGCATCGTAGAGACCAGTCCAGCCGTCAGCCGTTCCAGTAAGACCTACGTCACCAGGAAGGAATTGGTAAGATTTCACTAAGTCCAGCCTGAAGAAACTGCGCAGCCGCTAGGATTCGCCGTACGAATATAGCAGACAGGCTGTATTCAAAGGTTTAGTCTACCAGGAGCCGTCGTCGCATCCAGTCGAGCCACCAGCCGCCTTTCCCGAAGATACGTCACCGCTGGAAGTAGGTGAGAATTCTACAAGTCCAGTTTAGACGAACTGCGCAGCCGCCAATCCAAGACGAGGGACTTAGAAAATAAACGAAATTGGAGAAGTCAGTTCATCTCCAGCCGCCGTCAACACCAGTCCAGTCCGAAGACCGCTGCAGTAAGTTAGGTTCCGCGCATATTCAATGCGCAAGTCTCTTGAGGTGACAAGAGACCTGACGAGGTAATTGTACTGCAGAGTTAGTCCTGTTCCAGCGTTCCGACCGACCAGACGTGCCCAGGAAAGAAGTGAGTCAAAGTTAGGGAACATAGGTAAAGACTTGGCCGCTGTCCGTTTGTATTAATCATAGCTTCTCTTTTCAGTATCCGCCGTACCACGACAAGGAAAGGTGCACTGTTGTCTCTGTCCGGTGCACTGGACCTAAACTGCGAGTTCGGCTTATAGGATGTTGTCTCCCCCTTTTTCTGTCCTATGAGTTGAAACGCAGGTCGTACCGAACCGCCGACATACGACAAGGAAGGGTGCATTGTTGTCACTGTCCGATGCATTCGACCTAACTGCGCGCTCTGCTGATAGAATGTCGTGTCCCATTTCCTTTCTGTTCTATGAGTGGAGACGCAGGTCGTAGTTAATCTCGTTTCTCTTTCAGGTACGACGTGGTTGGGTGTACTGTTGTCTCTTTCCGGTACACTTAACCTAACTGCGCGTTCGGCTGATAGGATGTTGTCATCCTTTCCTCCCTTTCTGTCCTATGAGTTGAAACGCAGGTCGTAACTAATCCATCTTTCTTTCAGAGATTTTCTGCCAGCCGCCTGCCAGGATTGAGGAGCCCCGCTGTTACTGTTTTATTGCTTTTGTGTAAAGATAGTAGCCAAGTCTAGTCTATAGTTATTGATTGTAGCTTTGCTTTGCTAGATCGCTTCCTTCTTTCTGGTATCTGCACTACCGCTTACCGCCTTAACCGTTCCGCTAGCTCTGCTGTGCTTTGCTTTCGTCAGGTCACCGCTTAACACCGCACCGCCGTTACCGTTTTCCGTAGTCACCCTGTATATAACCATAACCGTTTAGCAATAGAGTAGAATAGTGTAAATAGGTAGAATTGGACTGAATAAATGTAAATATATTCCAATTGTGTGACTTTTATTCCTGTGTGAAGTCTAACTCTCTCTAGACCCTCTGGACATACCGTGTCTTCACTGTAGCCGCCCGCGTAGTGGTGTTTCTGCACTATAAACGGAAACTGGCGCCCGAGGTAACCGCCGTCGCTCAGGCGTCATAGTGACAATAGACGTCACAAATTTGGCGCCCGAGCAGGGACCTAAAAGAGAGAGTTAGTGAAGATTTGGAGATTCCGACCGTTTCCGAACCGTTCCGAACCCGGCCGAAGACGTCATAAGCCATCTGGACAACGCCAGAAGAAATTGGAGATCGAACCTAAGGATCAAGAGTGTTAGGACACGAGAAGCCTGCATTTTCGACCAGAAAGCCCGAACTCCGCCCGAACTTTTCCGAAAGTGCCCGAAGGAACCCGATCCGAACATATCCGTGTGGGGTATCGTTTTCATGGTAATTCGACCCCAGGAATCGATTGGTGACACTTGGAGTTGAATCCGATCAGCCGTTTCGAAGATAGGTCTGCCGTAGCGAAGTGGGAAGCCGAAACCGAGAAAAACCAGAAGCGACAATCCGTTTGTATCCCAAGACACCGTCCAGACCGTGTTTTACCGCCGTACCGGATTTTGCCCGGAGCTCTTGGCGACTCCGGTCGAAATTTTTACCAGGCGTGTGACCCCTCGTGGAATAGGTACTTGGGGGCGTAGAATCGATTGCCGTTGGTTTCATTTCGATCCGACGAACCGTTCTGGAAAACCGTTTACCAAACTCACAAATCTGAGTGAAATTTGGTGAAACCTGCCTTCGGCAATCCCTGACATTCCTGCTGACCATATATTAGAGACCGAACCCGCCACCCCGGATTTTACCCGGAATTTTGAAAAATCCGGTGTCAACCCGTACCTGGCTTGTGACCCCTCGTTTAGCAGTAAATCGAGGGCGCAGAATCCAACGCTGATAGTTTCAGCCCGAACCGCTGAAGCGTTGAAGAGATAGCGCCTAGGGAGTTGGTGTTGAGACCGCAAGCCGAACAGACGTATCAACTGGAAGAGCTCCGCAGCTATCACCGCCCGGAGGGTTGGTTCTGAGACCGCAGAACGAACAGACGTGTCAATTGAAGAGCTCCGCAGCCTTCACCGCCGCAAGACCAGAAGAGGACATGACATCAATCGAGGAAACCCGAATCCTGACCGACCCTGAACCAGCCGTAGAACCCGGAAGCTCCGACTTAGCCGATTTCCGACTGAGCTGGATATATAAGCTCAGGAAAGAGCAACTGGACCTGGAACTGGAAAAATTTCGCCTAGACGTCTCTGGAACCGTCGAAGAAAAGAAGAAACGACTGGTGAGGTTTATTAAAGACGGATGTGCATCACCGCAACCGAGGCACACCGCCCCCGCTTTCGTCATACCACCGCCACCGCCGCTTGTCGTGCCGACCACAGCAAGTGCACCGCTCGTCAGCAACCCTTCTGCCCCGCTCAGCATCAGTACCGTATGCGAGAGGGTAAGAAAGTAGAACCTACACTTTAATGGAAGGACCGGTCCCGTGGAGTTCTTGGAAAAGCTCTGCGAATTCCAGGAACACAGCGACATACCAACGTCGGCCGTATTACCCGCCCTGCATGAAATATTTCAAGGCAACGCTTTAGCCTGGTACCGGAACAACCGCGAATTATGGAACTGTTGGGACGATTTTATTGGCGACTTCAAACAGTTCTACCTGCCCGCCAATTATGAGTCGTTCCTGGAAGAACAAATATTCCAGCGCCGCCAGAAAGTAGGGGAGTCCGGCCGAGACTATCTAGTCTCCCTACAGACCCTGCTACGCCGACATGGAGGATTCTCGTCCGACCGAGCCCTCCAACGCCTGTATGGAAATTTGCTCCCCGAATACCGGCAGTACATCCGCCGAAGCGAAATCCAGAGTCCTCGTGACCTGATTCGCCAGGTGGAAGAGTACGAAGCTCTGCAGAGAGAAATCGCGGCTAATCGACCTGCCAAACCAACCACGCCGTCTCCGCCTAACTTCGTCCGGAACCAGACACCAGTAGCTGTCCTACCGCCCGTAACATCACCACCAGAAAGGACTCAGACAACTCCGACAGTCAGATCTGATCCGCCAAGAACCACCCGACCAGAAGAAACACCGATTGAGACAACCCCGATTAGACCACAGACCGTAAGACATGTCCGAACACCAGAAGAACGACCGTCGACTTCCGCCGCCAACGTCCCTTCTGACCGCAACGCTATCTGCTGGCGTTGTGGGAAGAGTGGACATTTTCGAAGTCAATGTCGAGCACCGCCCCGCCTTTTCTGCTCCAGATGTGGACAGTCTGGAATTATGACTAGGGACTGCTCATGTTCCCAGTCGGAAAACTAGACCGGAACCGTACCGTTACGAGGCCTGTACCGTTCCGCCCTAGTCTTGCCTCGCAAACCATATCCGCCCGCCACCCGGACAATCGACCGCACGTACCAATCCGGATTCAGGGAAAGACCTTCTTGGCCCTGATCGACACCGGAGCAGCACGCTCATATGTAGGAGACCGAATCCGTCAACTAGGCCTACATTATGAGACCGCTACCGCACCGCCCGTTCAGCTAGCGAATGGTAACTTGGTGACCGTAACCGAGGTTTACCAGATCAAATTCCGGATAGGGAGTAAAGAATTTGATGAGAGGCTATGGTATCTCACAAATTTATCCTCCGATGTTGTGCTAGGAATGGACATCCTGCGCAAGCACAACTTCCTGATAAGTCCGTCCGCTGCCACCGTTAGCCTGGATAACACCGTCATCTCGTCGACACCAAGCCCCGATGTAGATCCCTTGGAAGTTCTGTCGTCAGCCCCATCACCAACGGAGGAAGAGAAGCTAGAATCCTTCCTGGAGACCGAGTTACCTAGTTTCAAGGATTTACATGGTACTACCGGCTTGATACAACACCATATCCGCCTGTCACAGTCCGAACCGATCAAACAAAGGTACCGCCCGCAAAACCCGAAAATGCAGGACATTATCAACAAGGAGGTTGATGAAATGCTGCACAACGGGATAATAGAGCCGTCCGACAGCCCGTGGAGTTCACCCGTCGTCATCGTCCGCAAAAAGGATGGAAAACCTCGATTCTGCATCGACTTCCGTAAAGTCAACGAGGTTACCGAGAAAGACGCCTACCCGTTACCGTACATCAACGCGATACTGGACAAGCTCCGCAAGGCCAGATATATCTCCAGTTTAGACCTTAAGCAGGGATACTGGCAGATTCCACTTACTGCCGAGAGCAAACCGATCACTGCTTTCACCGTCCCCGGCAGAGGCCTGTTCCAGTTTAGAGTCATGCCTTTTGGACTTCACTCGGCTCCAGCTACATTCCAACGACTCCTAGATAGGATCATTGGACCGGAAATGGAACCCTATGCGTTTGCCTACCTGGATGACATCATTGTATTAGGGGAAACCTTTGAAGAACACCTGGACAATTTACGAGAAGTATTCCGCCGACTACGAATGGCTAACCTGCAGCTAAACCCCGACAAATGCGAGTTCTGCAGGAAGTCGCTCAAATACCTAGGACATATCGTCACCGCTGAGGGGATTCAGACAGATCCTGAAAAGGTGGACTCGATCAAGAAGTTCCCCACCCCTCGAAACATCCGAGACGTCCGCCGCTTCCTAGGAATGGCTTCCTGGTACCGACGCTTTGTACCGTCATTTTCCCAGATTGTGACTCCGTTAACCCGATTACTCCGGAAAAATCACCGTTTCAAGTGGACCAGTGACCAAGAAGACGCCTTCAACCACTTGAAGAACTGCCTGACCGAAGCTCCGATTTTAACCTGTCCGGACTTCGAACAACCGTTTACCCTCCAGACCGATGCCTCCGATCATGGACTGGGAGCAGCTCTGACCCAGAATATCGACGGATACGACCGAGTGATAGCGTATGCTAGTCGCACACTGTCGCCTGCCGAAAAGAATTACTCCGTCACTGAACGAGAGTGTTTGGCTATAGTGTGGGGCATAGAGAAGATGAGACCGTATCTTGAAGGCTATCACTTCACCGTCCTGACCGACCATCAATCTCTGCGATGGCTGCATTCCATCAAAAGTCCTGCCGGCCGTCTAGCCCGATGGAGCGTATTCCTGCAGCAATACGACTTCGAAATTAAGTACCGCAAGGGAACCCTAAACCGAGTAGCCGATGCTCTGTCCCGTCAGCCGATAGAAGGAACTTCTTCTGCACCAAGTACCGGAGAACTATGCGTCCTGAATGAGCCGCCAAACTGTTCATGGTATAGCAGAAAGAAGTCGGAAGTCGAAAGAAACCCTGAAGCATTCCCGGATTATTGCATACGCAATAACCGTCTGTTCCGCCACTTCTGGGATTCCAGCGACTTAACCGAACCCGATCTATCCGATCCATGGAAGCTATGCGTCCCCACGCCGCTCCGCTCAGCGGTTTTGCAAGAGAACCATGATGCTCCGTCCGCTGGACACATGGGAATTGCTAAAACCATCGCTCGCATGTCACAAAAGTACTATTGGCCTGGTATGTTCCGCGATACCGCCAAGTACGTACAAAGTTGTATGCAGTGTCAGCGGTACAAGCCACCGCAGCATCAAGCTGCGCAGAAAAGGCAACCGTCCGTCAACCGTCAACCATGGGACACCGCAAGCACCGAAGTTCAGACAGTTACCGTTCCAGTATCAGGAGTTTCCCTAGAAGTACCGTCCGCAAGAATTCCGGAAAACCAGCCAGAACCTGACATTCAACCAATCCGCCCGCCGCCACGATCATCGACAGATTATCCAACCCATCTACCGGTAAAACAATATAGATTATGTTGGAGATGTGGATATCCTGGCCATTCCCGCCAAACCTGCACCCAGACACGACGCCTGTTTTGTTCCCGATGTGGACGAGATGGCATAATGTCCAAGGATTGCACATGCGAAAACCGCCCGCATGCCAGCCCCAGCCGAAGCCGTCTATCCGCAGCTCCTCGACACCGTTCCCGTTCGCATCCAGGACACCTGACCGCATCCAGAGGAGTTCAGTGTTATTTCCCGGACATTTTCCGCCGAACCGAAACCGCTTCCAAGGGCATCCAATGCAACTTGCTGTCCTAAGAACCGTAATCCGTTCCGACCAGAATTACCGTTTTGTTTGATTTTCTTTCTTTTCTAGGGTAAAATTATGGCACAGCCCCAAAAGCTGTATAGAATAATTTATTTTGGTTTATATAGAATCTCTTTTCCGAAATTAGTTTTTGTTTTTGTAAAAGGTGAACATATCCCCAAATAAAGTTTACTAACCTGTGTGGGGTATGCGCCTTGTAATTTAGGGATTTATTAAGGAAAAAAAATAAAAATTTCATTTTTATTTTTTAGCGGAAGTAAGAGGGGGGTGTAACAAAGTGATTTTCCAACACCCCACATTTGTGTTTTTTTTATTTTATTTTATGAATAAATATGATGTACCGCACCGTCATTCATTTTTGGCATTTCAAACACCGTCCGTCACCGCGCAGCCGATAGCTGGCAAATTCACACCGCGATGATAATCGTACGCCAGTCTTCTACCTGCCAGCGAAGGAATCAGTCGTGCCGAGCTTCAGCCTGCCGTCTAGCCAGCGATACGTCACCGCCTGAGTAAGAATTTTACAAGTCCCGCTTAGGAGAACTACGCAGCCGCTGCCGAAGCAACACCAGGGCTTAGAATTAAGCCACCGTCCGAAATTCAGTTCACCACGAGGCATCGTAGAGACCAGTCCAGCCGTCAGCCGTTCCAGTAAGACCTACGTCACCAGGAAGGAATTGGTAAGATTTCACTAAGTCCAGCCTGAAGAAACTGCGCAGCCGCTAGGATTCGCCGTACGAATATAGCAGACAGGCTGTATTCAAAGGTTTAGTCTACCAGGAGCCGTCGTCGCATCCAGTCGAGCCACCAGCCGCCCTTCCCGAAGATACGTCACCGCTGGAAGTAGGTGAGAATTCTACAAGTCCAGTTTAGATGAACTGCGCAGCCGCCAATCCAAGACGAGGGACTTAGAAAATAAACGAAATTGGAGAAGTCAGTTCATCTCCAGCCGCCGTCAACACCAGTCCAGTCCGAAGACCGCTGCAGTAAGTTAGATTCCGCGCATATTCAATGCGCAAGTCTCTTGAGGTGACAAGAGACCTGACGAGGTAACTGTACTGCAGGGTTAGTCCTGTTCCAGCATTCCGACCGACCAGACGTGCCCAGGAAGAGAAGTGAGTCAAAGTTTAGGGAACCTAGGTAAAGACTTGGCTGTTGTCCGCTTGTATTAATCTTTCTTTCAGAGATTTTCTGCCAGCCGCCTACCAGGATTAAGGAGCCCCGCTGTTACTGTTCTATTGCTTTTGTGTAAAGTCTAACTCTCTCTAGACCCTCTGGACATACCGTGTCTTCACTGTAGCCGCCCGCGTAGTGGTGTTTCTGCACTAAAAACAGGAACTGGCGCCCGAGGAAACCGCCGTCGCTCAGGCGTCATAGTGACCAATAGACGTCACAGACGGATTCGAATTTTTCAAAAACCGTTTGAAAGCTTGAGAGCCCTTCTATATGTGATTAAGTTTTCAAGTATATAAGGGCCTTGGTCTTTGCTGTGTATAATTTTGAAAATTTGCATTTTTTTTTTCAAAATCTGGATTGCAAAATTATTATGCAAAATCTATCGAACCGATTTTGATGAAATTTGGTGTGATGATTCTACATAACATGAAGTTTTCTTGAGCCAAGTATAAAGGTCCTACACCCAATTTAAATACACCAAAAAAATTCCCTAAAAAGTATTATTTTTTAACCCCATTTTTATGATTTTTTCGATTTTAACCATAATAATCATGATTCATTCGATTTGTAACCAGTCATGTATTGTAAGAATTTAATTACAAACATTTTTTTCCTCTTCCATTTTCGCCTAAAATCAACTCTTAAAAAGATACATAATTAAATAGGAAGAAAATATGACATTTTTCCAATTTTTTTAACAAAAGTTAAGCCCACGTTTTTTTTTATGCGCATAGAAAAATTTTCATTTCTAGTGATATTTGAAAGCCAAAAAGCCAAAAATCTCCGTGGATATACGATTCACCCAAATATGGCTTTTTGAAACAGATACCGTCTGGACTATTGATCAAATTGTTGAAAGCAACTACTACTGCCCCGACTAGCATTGAATTTTATCCGCAATACAAAATAAATAGCTAGGATCATTCGTTAGTAAAACCACCAGGCATATACTGATTTCGAACGATTAGTTCCGATCAGTATCCCATAGGTATGGGTGAGACATAACCACAAATTCATCCATTTCAAGTATTTATTGTACTTAAGCAGAAAAATTTGTGATGAAAGCATCTCTCATATGAGAGATACATTTTCTTTTTTTTTTCTTTTGTATTCATTCATCTATTGTGAATATTCTTACATATAAATAATATTGAAACGACCTTAGTGGATACATAATATCTTTGAAAGAACATCCGTATGAATTCAAGTCGGTTTAAGAAAAATTTTTGTATTGAAAATGAATTATTATTTGTTTGTCTTCAAATGGAAATTTCATATCAGGAACTGAGCAATGAACAAAATTTAAGAAATCTGCAAAAGAATATGTACTTCTGTAATGACTATTTAAAGCAGAAATATTGAAGGAATGAAGTTTATTGTGTCACATAATACACAAATATTGCAACTCTACGAATAGAGCAGCACAGTAGTCGAGGAATTATTTTATGCAAGTATACTGTAAAATTTATAGTTACTGTAGCAGACAAATGTATACAGAATACGAAATACGACCAATGCAGGCGTTGCGGTTATTCGATTAATTTCCGCAAAACTTGAAGGAGCAGGAGCACCGAAATCGATTCAATTTCCGAGGTGTTCGGAGAAAGTTTAGTTCTAGTAATAAATAGCTTTTTCAGTTCATTTGCCATAATAAGTGTGTAACTATTAAATTGTGTTTAATAAAAATTCAGTAAGTAATTCTGATAAAAATAAAGATAAATATAAATTAATCCACAGTTTCCAACACAATTTAATTGAATAAAACAAATATTAAATTAACTTGTAGGGTTTTTTTCTTATAGTATATGCGATATTGTCCAAGTATGCATGAAAATTGACTCATAAATAATAAACATATATTTTCTTGACGAAATTGTTATTTGTCCTCAATATGTTACAATGAATTATTATTTTTTTAACTATGCTCATATTTTCATATTTACATAAAATTAAAATGTGATTATATATTAATAGTATAATGTAGTCGAGCTTCTCCCCATAAAATTTTTATGTGCGCTAATGGATATATCATATAATTTTTAAATCCTCATAGTATTTTTTACTCTTTAATTTTTATCTTAGGACCCTCATTTTTAAGTGAAAAGATAAGTAAAATTTTGCACACGTTCAATTACATACCCGGAACAGCATCCAATTCAATTCAATTTTTGTTAGTATATACCGGTTTCGGACTTTCTATTCCCCATCAGCATGACATCCGATGAATGAAGCACTAAATAGCAGTGACATATAGACATCGCACATGTAGCGAGCACATAGCTGGCAGAGTAGTTGTTTCCCGCAAAAGCATCAGTCAAAAAACGATTCGCCTAGTTGGAGATAGCTTGTGCTATCATAGTACCTGCAAAATTGCATTGCGTCGTTCTGTGACAGTTATTATATTTGAATTGTTTTAAAAATAATACAAAATTGTTAAATTGACATTTTAAAACCATTTTCTTTGGTTAAATTCATATAATTCTTCTGCCAAGTTGTGAATGTGAAGTGCCCCATTTAAAAAAAATCCATTATGTTGATGAAATAATTTAATTTTATTGTCATCTATACTAATATAAGAATTTATTTGCTTCTACTGATATTGATCACATATATTTAATTTTGTTGAGATTATTTGGTGTCCCGCCAAACATATTTTTCTTGCCCATTGAGCCGCTGGATAAAAAAGTTTGGAATAAACTGCTATAATAGGATAACAATAGTGAGGATACTTTTTTAGACTTCGTCATCATTATTTAGGGGACATTGAAATATTAAATGAAACTTACCTAGCACTCCTCCACACTGATATGTTGCTATTTTAATGTAAGCCTGCCAGGGATACTGTCCAAATGCAGCTTCCCGACCACCTATTATCCTTTTCGAAAACATTCTTTCAGAAGATAACCCACATATATCTTCCTCTTCGAAATCATCGATTCTTTTCTGTAACACCGGAAATGACTCTTCCCTGGCTCTAAAATGAATATAATAAGTTGGAAGGGGATTAATATGACAATTATGAAACAATTGCTGAATGTTGACAATCATCTTACAGTTTGACCAAATTTATCTTGTCTGTGAAATACGCAGATTAAGAAGAGACTTCGCATTAAGACGCCTTAATACTAGAGCAGGTATCTTCTGTGTAATTTTACCTAGGTCTGGTAAATAGGTATAGCTGTTTAATGAAGATTGTATATTAAATGTATGAGCAGATTATCTTTGCGCATCTGAAACTTGTGCAAGATGAATTTGGTCAAGCTGTAATTTAACCATTCTAATACTTTTATTCAAAATAGATTAGAATAAAGTGATGATTTTCTTTGTTCCTGCAAAGTTTAAGGTTTATTATTTCACATCACTTCCGAGCGAAAGATTAAATACTTGCAGTTTCTTTAAATTTTTGTTTTCAGGGGATTAAGCTTTACTTGTAATTAATTACCTTGGAAACAGCTTATGCTTTAAAGCCTTTTTGAAAAAAGCGAAAGAAAAATGCGTTATACAAGGTGATCCTGATATTTTCAGTATCGGATAATACATAAAAAATACGTTTCTTTTTATACATATATAATAATATAAAACAATGTATAAATAATACTGGCATGGCAAAGTATTGCAATAAATATTATAAAGGTCCTATTGACACCTGGTATTAATAATGTCGTTCTCCATTTAGATATACTTCCATGATCTCAACTTAATAAATTGAATGGTTTTAAACCGTGTTACGATCTTGACTCTCATATTAACAGTTTACAAACAGTCCTCAAATTATGAATGGTAAGAACTTCTGCAAATTTGTTTAAAAAGTTTCATAACTACAAGTTGAGCCATTGGATCTTGACGTTCAAGTCATCAACATACATTAATATAAAAGACAAATGTTCCATTACACAGCCACACAAAAAAAATTTAAACCATGAAACCTTAAGACTCAAGCTTCTAACGCTAAATCCAATTAACCAAATCCCATAAACATTTAACCCAATGATATCCCAATCTAATAAATCTATGAACCCAAACCCCAATAATCCTATAACCCCATAACCCCATAACCAAGGGTATAAATCATAGGCAATCTGTATTATTACAAAACATCACATAGCTGAAGACTCCTTGAAAACCCAAGTACTCAAACGCAAAAAATTCCCTATAATCCCATAACTCCGTAACTTTATAATCCCATAACATCATAACTAATAAATCATAGGCCATCTGTATTATGGCTAAACGTTAACAACTTCATTACATTGTACTTTGGTCTCATTCACCAAAGAACCGAGTGTTACAGTCGATCTAGTTTTTTTCATAACCCAATGTACACCACGAGGTAGTTGCGCGATCGGATTTCGTACATCGTATACCCCTCATAAAAGCTTTAAAAAAAATTATTTGGAGAATAGATCGTACTATAAATTAATCAATAAAAGTTTAAGGTAATGGGGTTATAGGATTATGGGAGTTTTTGGGTTTGAGTACTTGGGTTTTTGGAAGGAGTCCCCAACTATGCGATGTTTTGCGATAATACAGATTACCTATGATTTATTCCCTTGGTTATGGGGTTATGGGATTATAGGGTTATTCAGGTTTGGGTTCTTGGGCTTATTGGGTTGGGATATTATTAGATTAAATGTTTACGGGATTTGGTTAATTGGATTTAGCGTTGGAAGCTTGAGTCTTAAGGTTATATGGTTTAATTGTTCATAATATCGGTTTTTTGAGGTTATGAAAAATCCTGAGGTGATGGAGTTAAATGGATTCGCATTCAGCGACCCAAAAAAATTATAATAAACATGGTGTGACCTCTAGGTTCGAAGGTCGATCTTTTTGGCAGTGTTATTAATCAACGTGAATTCATTAATGATAGAAAAAGACAAACAATCGCCTTCATGTGTTGTGCCACTGATACTAGTTCTTACATAGGTTATTAATTGTCCCTGATGAATAATAAAGACACAGACACATTGTCGTTCGTTGTGCGCTTAAAATGTAGACATATATTTGACTAGCATCGTGAGTTCTGTGATTGTTTCAGTAAATCGAATTTAAGTTTGCTTAGTTTTGGTGGATTTTAAACTGTTGTTATGATGCAATAAGTCACAAAACACATTTTCATTGTACAAATGTGAATCCTCACTATTTCTTAAATGAGCACAACCATTGATTTGCTCTCGTTTGAAATCTTAGTTCATACGATTATGCTTGATGACGTGAACGTAAAGATCCAATGGCTCAACTATATAGAGCCTTCATAAATTTTTACAAGCCACATGACCGCCGAGCTTAGGAACCCAACAATACTCGATTTTTCTTGGTAACGAAAATTCCCTAAATCTTGGCATCACCAACATTAATGATTCGTTTCCAATGAACAATGATAAACCGTCACGTCTACTCTCGAGATAATGCGATTGCTGATAATTGAAAAATTACACCAATCACAGGCGATGAAACAGTTTTAATGAAATATTGATCTTATTGTTTTAAATTTATTGAAATCTATTTGCCAACGTGAAGGAAATAAAATTACTGTTCCAAATAAAGTTACTGGTCACGTGGCTTGTAATCATTTATGAAGCTCTGTATATATGACTATAGCGATAGAATTATTATGCAAGCCTTACTTTAAATTCGAGTCGAAACTGTCGTCACTATATTCTAAATCATCTAAAGAACTCTGGGATTTTTTGGAAGTAACACAGCAGGCTACTATCCAAGGACTAGCACCACATCCTGACTGACTGGATCCGCCGACCAACCAACAGGCAAAAGACAATGTACAAGAGTGAGATACGCCCTTCCTTTCACATTTCGAAGGGTATCCGAACATCGTCACAAATACCCTTCCTAAAAGAACAGAACTATAGAATAGAAAAGTTGTAACACACAAATACATTGTAATGAGTCACTTCAGTACTTATTTAAGTATACGATTATACGAAGTCTGTTCAGAAAATAGTCGGACTTTTTTATTTACGCGCGAATGGAGATATTTAGTGATACGCGGTTGGCAGCATTGAGTTGCGCATAACCTCCTCTGTAACCACATGTTTTTGGATTGTTGACATCTCATTTAGTTTTCGTGATATTGTTATTTGAGTGCAACGTATTTAGGAGCTAGTGACTATTTTTGAAATGTGCGATTTTCTGGAACGATACAACGTAAAATTTTGCAATTAATTGGGGAAAACTTTCACAGAAACCTTTCAACTTTTGAAACAAGCTTTCAGAGAAATGGTTGTTAGTCAATTGAAGATGATCCTCGACCAAAAAGGCTTTTGACTTCAACTGACGACTTCCACGTTTAGAAAGTCATAGATCTAGTGCATTTAAATTGTCAGAGAAATTATAGAAAAGGTAAGCATTTCAATGAGATCATGTTATCTAATTTTGATTAAAAAATTAAACATGCATCAAGTTGCAGCAAAATGTGTTCCTCGAAAATCCTGGACGTTTGTCAACAACACCTTGAAGAATCCAATGACGATGAAACATTCATTCAAAAAATCATAACGGAAGACGAAAGCTGGGTTTACGGCTACGACATTGAAGCAAACGTTCAATCATCACAATAGATTGGCAAAGGATCTTCACGTCCCAAGAATGCACGTCAGTGTCGATCCAATGTCAAAGTTATGCTCACTGTTTTTTTCGTCTTTCGCCGTTTTGTGCCAAAAAACAGATTACTGTCCTTCCTCATTCTCCTTACTCGCCAGATCTAGCTCCTTGCGATTTTTTCTTATTTCCCGAAATTTAAGTAAATCAGTGCTGACGCCGTTATTTTCTGAACAGATCTAGTAAGTATATATAAATACTAATAAACGCAACCAAAAAAACCTGCACAACAATCAATTGGCAATTTATTGCTAACTAATTTTTTTTAATAAAGTTGATTAAATGTTTTTAAATGTAAAAGACATTGACATACTCTTTTTATTAATTGGAAGTACATTAAGTTCATTGAGATTTATAATAAGTATTATAAACAGTTTATTTCAGAGAGATAATATAGAGTGTTTTTATTAAGGGGCATAACTTAATAGAAAATTCTTCATTTCACAATTTGGTGATTGGGTCAAAAATGCCTTATTCAAATATTGTTTGTTTCTTTTTATTTCATGTTTTTAGCGCTATTCTTTTCTCTTTCAAAGTGTTTCATGTGAAAACATCTAGCGTGCATTAGAGACTGCATCTAGCCAGAAATAATATTCATGTTGTGCACAATGGCAATGAGCGCGAGCAAGTTTTTGGTCCTCCTGTTGACGTTGCAGGGACGCGCTGCGCTACGCCCAACTCAGCCTACAGCGTCTATAGGAGGGCAACGACTTACTCCTTACTGGTGGAGTAAATGTGACCTAAACTTTTTTCTTTGTACGTTAACAATCAGTCTAAATGTAATGAAACTTTACTTTTAGTAAAAATGTTACACTAGGCACAGAAATTAAGGGATATTAAATAAATCCCAAAATTTTGGGTGATTTTCAAAGAGCTGTAACCTGGAGGTAAATGGTCGTAGAGAGAATAAAAAAAAGAAAGTTGAAGCTTAAGGTGTCTAGTTTTAGTCTAGCAATAATTACTCGGGAGATAATGGTCGCACAGAAAATTCAAGCAGGGTTTTGGAAACTGCAAAGTATTCTCTACAAGTCGTAATTTTGGGTTTTTGATAAAAAAAAATTTCAAAGTGAAAATGTTGGTTAGAAAAAAGGTAAAAAATTGCAATTAGGGATATTTGAATAACTTTGCATAACTTTGCAAATCATGAATAAATTAAAGATATCGACTGTAACTTTTTAACGTCAAAGTGTCCTAAAGAAACCCTAATAATTTCAAAACGCTGCGATTTTTTTCCTAGTGCCCGGAATGTTTAAATTTGTCGTTTTGCTGAAAATCAATGTAATAAGTAATGTTTCACTTTTTATTCATTTTTTTAAGTTAAAAATGTGTTTTTAGCAATAATCCATATTTTCTTCATCAAAAATCGTTAATGATTAAAAAAAAATTAAAAATTTTTCCAAAAATTATATTTTTCAAATTTTTTTGTGGAACATACCCACATGCTTCACAAACGTCAAAAAAATGTTGTTGACGTTGCAGATTACAATTTAATCGGGTATTGCCGCCTTTGTTCGTCATCACCGATTTTAAGTGGTCTCGCATATTAATGCATTGCCGGATGTCTCGTTGCGTAATTCCTTGCCAAGTTTGCAAAAGAGCCTGGGATAATCTCGTCGTCATCGACGCCCGAGCATGTCCTAAACATGCCCAATGGGGTTCAAGTCGGGACTCATAGGTGGGTGGTTGAGAGTTACCACATTGTTGGCGTAAAGAAACTTTCTCGTACGTTTCGCGGTATGAAGATGAGCATTATCATGCATGAGAATGAACGATTCCCTATGCTTGTACGCATGGGCAGGACGGATGATTCAAGGATTTCGGTGATGTACCTCTCGGCAGTTAATGATGGGAATGATTACCAAATGAATTCTGGTATTTAATGGATACACTTGCCCATACCATAACTGAACCGTCATTAAAAGCCGTAACTTGCCGCGTAAAATTATCGGTATCACGTTCCTCACGACGACGCCAAACGAGATATCATCTGTCATTGTCATGGCGATTCCGTTATGTTATTCAAATACCCTGCAATTCTTTACCTTATTTCTAACCAACATTTTCACTTTTAATTTTTTTATCAAAAATCCATAATTACGATTTGTAGAGAATACTTTGCAGTTTCCAAAACCCTGCTTGGATTTTCTGTACGACCATTATCTCCCGCGTAATTGATTACCAAAGTAAAAAATGACTTTTTTACAAGGCTCCGGAACCGATCAAATTGAAGAGAATTAAATTATCTAAAAGATCTTTATGATGAAATTAACAAAAAAAATGTTTTGAAGTCCATGGGCTTTTTTAAAAAAAGCAAAAATTTACATTGACAGGTTTAATGATTTCCGGGCTGGTTGCCACATCGTCGGTTTATAACACTTGACGTTTCGAGAGACATATCGCTCTCTTCTCCAGAAGTTACTCTGAAACTGGAGATCTACTAGTCCTGTCACTATTTATATTTGATGTGGTCACTGGTTCATGATGTTCCGGTGGGTGACCTCGTACGCGTTGTTGACGTTCCAGTGGCTTGCTTTCACGGATGACTCTCTTCCATATACCTGGCAGATCTACGCCACAATCCCTGTTGAAATTGTTCGGATTTCTGTAAATTTCTAAAGCTTCTTCTTTATATAGTCGGGGTCAAAATCTTCTTTCTCTCACCACCATGTTGGCTTCACTCAGATTCACTGTGTGTCCTGTGTCCGCCCTATGTTCTGCTACTGCCGATTTTCCCCAGTTGTTATTTTTGAGGTGACTTTTGTGTTCCTTTAACCTCGTGTTGATGTGCCTTCCTGTTTGTCCTATGTAGACCTTTCCGCAAGAGCAAGGAATACTGTACACACCGGGGCCTTGGAGCTGGTCGTTGTTGCAGGTCTTTGGAAACGCTGCCGCCACCTTCCTTACAGTGCTGAATACTGTGTTGATATTCCTCTTCTTCAAAAGACGCCCGATTTTATCTGTACAACCTTTCACGTAAGGTAGATTCGTCGTCGCTAAGTACTCCTGTTTCTCAACGGGTGTATGTCTCCTCCTGAAAACAGGGAATCATAAATACCTTGATTAATCGAGCGCGGATCATCAGCGAGCCAAGACACTTGGCCGAAGAACTAGAACACCTACGCACGGCCTTGAGAGGGAATGGCTACACGGCGAGAAATATAGAACGAGCTATCAGGAGGAGACATACACCTGTTGAGAAACAGAAGTACTTAGCGACGACAAATCTACCTTACGTGAAAGGCTGTACAGATAAAATCGGGCGTCTTTTGAAGAAGAGGAATATCAACACAGTATTCAGCACTGTAAGGAAGGTGGCGGAAGCGTTTCCAAAGACCTGCAACAACGACCAGCTCCAAGACCCCGGTGTGTACAGTATTCCTTGCTCTTGCGGAAAGGTCTACATAGGACAAACAGGAAGGCACATCAACACGAGGTTAAAGGAACACAAAAGTCACCTCAAAAATAACAACTGGGGAAAATCGGCAGTAGCAGAACATAGGGCGGACACAGGACACACAGTGAATCTGAGTGAAGCCAACATGGTGGTGAGAGAAAGAAGATTTTGACCCCGACTATATAAAGAAGAAGCTTTAGAAATTTACAGAAATCCGAACAATTTCAACAGGGATTGTGGCGTAGATCTGCCAGGTATATGGAAGAGTCATCCGTGAAAGCAACCCACTGGAACGTCAACAACGCGTACGAGGTCACCCACCGGTACATCATGAACCAGTGACCACATCATATATAAATAGTGACAGGACTAGTAGATCTCCAGTTTCAGAGTAACTTCTGAAGAAGAGAGCGATATGTCTCTCGAAACGTCATGGGTTATAAACCGACGACGTGGCAACCCGCCCGGAAATCATTCAACCATTAACGACAGCCACGGAAGCCTACAAATAAAACCAATTACATTGACACTTGAAGCTTCAATTTTCGCTCTACGACTATTTCCCTCCAAGTTACAGCGCTTTGATTGAATATTACCTAAAATTTTGGGATTTTTTTAGTATCCCATAGTTTTTGTGCCTAGTGTGTATCAATTGAAAATAAAAGAAAATCGGTAAATAGAGACAGTAACTTCAAATCTGCAGCTTCATGATTTTGTACAGACTTTCAAAAGAGAAGGAACAAAAGTTAAGATCAGATTTACTCCACCATTAGAGTTTAACTAGCATCCTCTTCCGAGGGTATAAAATAAACACTAGTTTTGAATTTCCCTTGTTAAAAAACATAGCTACTGAAATTTGCAACATAATTGGTGAAATGGTTCTTATTATTGTTAACATTCGATTTTTACTCTGAGATTGAAAAGAAACAACATTTGATTAAGGCAAAAGTTGGGCTCTATAGACCTATTTTAAACTCAAAATTTCTACAATGGAGCTGTGTCCTTTCTTAATCTTAATCAAACATTCTGTATATATTTAATTGAATAGAATTTATTTAAAAAAAAATAGAGAGATTCTCGAGTTATATTTTATTGACAAGTAAACAGCAGAGGGCTTTGTAATTATTGCAATTTCCTGGTGTGAATTATAAACTACATATCAAAGAAACAAATCGTTTGTTAATCTCTACTGAAATAGTGTCAGTAACTTATTCCGAATGCTTTCCTGTGTGAAGAATACTGCAGTCATAACTAGTTATGACTTAGTACTTCATTGTTCCAGTACGTGATTTCTCTATTCTCGAATTTTAGAAAAAAATTCTGAACTATATTTTGTTGGTGCCGCACGTTAATGTATTGGGACAGTTTGAACCACACACTGATACCCGCCTATGTAAAGGATTACTGATAGTCGGAGTGCCAATAAATAACTATCATAACAGTTATTTATCGACAAAACCAGTATCATATTTGCCTTGCAATTAAAAACAAGTGAAACACATACCTGTAACACTAACACCCTTTCTATATCCAGTGAGCTCATCGCCCGAACGGTGTTTTCCTTTCCAATGGTAGCCAGGCGATGGTTTCGAAAATCCGAAAAACCCGAGCACGTGAGCATTGTACGTCAACAACAACAATAAGATGCGCATCTCTCGCTCATTTTTAACCAACTTCTTCGTCCGCGTCCGCCGCTATGCCGACTCACCCTCACATTTTTAGCGTTTCCCGTCGCTCGGCCCGTCCGTGGCCGCTCTGCGTGAGTGTTTACCGTGTGGAACAACTTTTTTAATTGAATGAATGGCCTCCACGAGATTAACAGTAAAAGAATCGCCGTAACGGCACTGTTCCGAAAGTGGCCTACTTCGTAGGCGCTTCTCGGTGAAAGAATTCTCGATATGGACGGGGGGGCCTAGACAAAGACGAAGGTTGCCGTGCACTGATCGAGGTGGGCTCGTATTACAGTTTATAAGTGATTTTAATTTTTATGTGATCGAAGTGGCGACCTTGCTGGAGGAGGAGGAGTTGTGGTAGGCGCTGAGTTTTCGTCCCAAGGGTCAGCGGGTGGATCATTACGCAGGGCCGGATCAAAAGGAAATTAACGTGAACAGAAACGTTACAATTCTCGGCTGGTCACTGTATTCGTAAATAAATAAGTAGCTTAGTTCAAACTGGTGCCCAATCGGAGCTAAGGTCGTCTATTTTATATATTTTCATTAAATGTGTAGGACAAGAGGTCATTCCTTCACTTCAGCAAAAAAAAGTTGTATACAACTAACAGGGGACAGATAAACAATTAAATTGCAGCGAATCAAGATTTCTGATAGTCAATCACAAGTGAACAGGTCATCTAACTGTGACTACCAGCACTAACTAAAATTTCTTGCTACTGTATCAATTAAAATGTGTTGCTACGGTTACTAAAACTTTTAGATAAATGTAATTTTGTTGCATTAAAAATAAAGGGACTGTACATTAAAAGCGTAAGGCTGTAATAATTTAATATTTTAACTCTGATAAATATTTTATTTCGGAAATATTATTACATTAAGTCAACTCTATTGCTTCAGTAGGAAATTCACATTTTAATGGTAGATTAGCTGGATTTTACTTACCTTAGAATGTTTACTCATTTGACATAAATAAAAAAACTTGTAGATTTTCCAATTATCGTTAGTATATTTAATTCCAAAAAGTGTATTGTAAATCTAGAACTAACATATGTTTACTGAATCAAAAATCCGTCATGGAAATATATGACTTAAAAGCAAGTTTTCATTTGAAATCGGTATTAGTCAATCATTATTAATGAAATTTATTTGTTTTATAAATTGGGATGTGGTATTTTTATGGAGTTAAAAGTAACTTTTTCAGCTACTCTCTTTAAATGTGAAATAGATAAATGTGAGTTCATATTACCAGTGGGAATATAAAAGTGTTCTAATTTTCATAATCCTTTATTGTAGATATACGACTAGTTTCGAGGTCAAAATTACACCTCATCATCAGGTGTAACGAATTTTTAGAATCTTAAAATTATAATTTTTAACTATTTTTAGTTATTACATAAAAAAAATTTCCAGCCTTGTATAGTGACCTGATGATGAGGTGTACTTTTGACCTCGAAACTAGTTGTATGTAATCAGTGACGGTTTTACCATAAGAGCTGCAGAACACATAAAATTTTATGTATTTAATCATATTAAATATCAACAAAATATTTAAAGAATCCAAATGTACTCGCGCTAAAATAAATCTAGGAGCTTATATTATTATTTATTACGACGCGAGCTATGCTCCTTAATATATGCAACTTCATATACAAAATGTGTGCACAGCGAACAGTTAGATGCGTCCTTTGTTTTTATTGGCTAATCAGGTTCGTGACGTCGTGACCCACGTCACTTTTATATGGGCTTTTGTGGCTGCAAACAACGACAGCCACTGCTGCAGTAAATGCAGTAATATTTCGTAAGTGGTATGTGGTGGTTTATTTCTGCGAGCGGCACGTGTGAATATTTTCGTTTAGGCGTCTACGGATATTACAGTTATTAAAATGAATAGTGTTTCGTTTTTACAAAAAACTTTATTTGGTTCTCTGCGTTATGAGGATAAACTAAAAATAAAGAATTAGTTGGGCCAACACCACAATTAAATATTGAAATTAGTGGAACAAACCGAAGTATGTTATAAAAGACAATTTAACAATAATGTATACACAAAAGCAGAGTGGGTGTGCGGGTGTGATATAAGAAGTCAGTTAGATTCTGCATATTGGGATAATATACGGAAACACAATGAACAGGTAACGAAAAATTGTTATGTATTATCTAATATCATAGATTGCAAAAAATTTTGCGGAGCTTTCGAATTAGAACTTCGCGGACATGGTGAGACACAAAATTCGGACAACCCTGATGTGTTTCGTGGACTCATAAATTTAGTGCAGATCTTGACGACATATTAAAAGAACATCTAGCCACATGGGTATGACCGGGATTTTCTGTGATTGTACCGGGAATTAGCTGTATGGTCCCGTATTTCGGATTTGCACGTATAACTCCCGAAATATATGTACGTATATATAAAAAAGATAAAGAAAAAATCATAACACGGCGAGGAAAATTAAAATTCGTTGAATCGTTGGTAAACTTCACATCGATTTTTTTGTTTTTAAACAATATTCAATAATTTAATAAAATATATTTAGTTTATTCCAATTTATTCATACCGTCAGTAGGTAATTCGTGAATAGATATTTCAAAAAGGTACCTATCAATTTCAAAAATCGTTGTGAAAATTTGTATTTTTGTATAAATGGATTGTTCCTTGAAATTCAGAAGTGCCAGGAAAACGCGTGACCTTGAAAATTTTAATATCCCGGAATTCAGTTCAACAAATGTAACAATCCTAAGCAGAACACATTCAATCAATGTTCGCGCGCCGCCACTGTATGTAATCAATATCTACAATAATGGATTGTGACAGTTAAAAGACTTTTATACTGATAACTCTTTTTAAGACAAGAGCTTGTTTATTTTATTTAATTTTATTGCAATGTCCTTGTCAATTAAATTAAAAAATTGCCCAAGTAAACAATTAAACTTGAACTAGATAATATAATTACTCGTTCAAATCACACTTCTCATACCAGGAATTTTCTCTACAAAATTTAAGTGAACATTCATTTTGATTTACGCATGAAGTGAGAGGAGACTTTTACAAAGGTTAGCATTAAAAAATGTATCCTGAATTTTCGCATTATAGTTAATAATATTTATAATAAATGTATATTTAAAGTATCATGGTTTTTCGGGTTACGTTGTGGCGGGTTGTGGTGGTTGGGAGTGAACCAAACTTTAACCACAAATAGAACTCAATAAATAATTGAAAATTGCCTTATAAAGCAAGGGTCTAAGTCTCACCGTTTTCACTGTACAGGGCCGTATTGGTCGGGTTTTAAAATCATATTATTTGTGATATATTTGATATGCCTATAACGAATTGATTCAAATTTGTTGTAGTGTTAATATTTACACATGTGCATAATTTACTGTCAAATTTACAAATCTTTGTAGGTCTGTGGCGTAGGAATGGGTAGTAAAGCAGGATTTTTTTACCCCAACTTCTACGCTAATGACCTAATAATCATGTAGGATTCACTTTTAAATCAATGGGAAAGGTCGTATGAGCAACCTCTGAGTTGGTCACAAACTAACTAAAATTTAAAACAGTAAGATCGAGATTACATTAAAACACAAAATTCTGTTTCGCCGACTGTGACTGGTTTATTTTTTTACGTGATTCAACCAATCAGCGACCGTTCATTGTAAACGAATCATCAATATTAGTGATGCTAAAATTTGAGATTTTTAGTTAACAGTACCAGCCCCGCAATTTTGAATTGTCTAAGCTCGGCGGTCACATGGTTTGTAATCATTTATGAAGGCTCTGCATAATTCACAAAAAAAGATCATTAAAATCAGATCCCATTGCGAGAAAATTAACTTTGAAATTGCGGCCACTTTTTAGTGGTGCATTAATTTTATCCAAGAGTTTTCATCTATGCATATACAACAAAGCACTACCATAATTTAATTTTGCTATGTTGTATTGTTACCATGTTGTCAAATTAAAATTCATTATATCATTTGACAGCTCTCCGAATAATAGAGCACAGCTCCGCACACTCCACTGATTAGTATTTACAAAAGTACATACAGATATTGTGGGTTTTTATTATTCACAGTTGATTATCCTCGCTAAATTAATCGCGTTCATAGTTAATGGGCATAAAATTTATATAGCGCGTTAGTAATTAAGGGCTCGTTACTAATTTAACAGCTTCGACATGCCAGGACATTATTAGCTCGTAATGAATGATGTATAATATGAACATAGAGAAATTGATAACTGCGTAATGTTTACTTTGGGAAAGTTATTAGGATAATTCTCTTCGAGAATGTGATATAAAATGTCGGTGTCCTTTTTCCGGTTTATTAAAATTGTCTAAATTTGCTAAGTATATTTTGTTAGGCGTGGCTCAAAAACGAATGAGACTTACTGTTATTATTTTTTATATTTTTTATGACAGGAAAGATTATAAAATAATATGTTTTCGTCACATAAAAAATCATTCAGTAGGTACTGCCTTCATTAAAACCAGGTAATTGATAGAAACTTATCGGAAGTTTTTGTAATGCAGTTTTTCCAAATGTTAAAAGAATTATTATTATAAAAATGTGTTGCTGAAAGTTTTGTGAAATTTTTAAAATTGACAAAAATGATGATGCAACATATTGTACAGGATTTCTGAAGATATGAGTGAAGAAGAATGGATAAAATAGTCAGACGGGAAAATCTGCATCATACAAGAATAAATTGTATATTTATTCGCAGCTGCCTTTTATTGTAGAAACAACTTATTAATATTTTATTATATCAATATTTATAAATTCCAGTACAATGTCGATAAGGTCAAATGTCAAAAATATTCGGAATCGCCATAAATCAATAGTACTGTGTAAAGAATTCTATGAAAGGAAATAAATGATTGAGATAGAACAAAATTTATTTGAAAATACATAACGGATAAAACTATCAAATTATTTCTATGTCACCACATTATATCATCTTTGGTACAAGAATGCTA